CGCAATACTTTAAGGAGCACAGGCAGCCAACCTCGTCGAGCAACCAAGCCACCTCCGCTGCCAGCAACATGGGCTCCGCTAGCCAGTCGGAAATGGGATCCAAGACGGCCAACCAGCAGACTGACAAGCTTTTCAATATCGCTTTCTACAACATGCCTCTTATCTCGAGAGTGCGCAGTCTCAGAGCGACGAATATTGGCCAACTTCTCTCCATCTCCGGTACGGTCACGCGAACATCCGAGGTCCGTCCTGAGTTGTCGCTCGCTACCTTTGTGTGCGAGGCGTGCAGATCGGTTGTGCCAAACGTCGAGCAGACCTTCAGATACACGGAGCCTACGCAGTGCCCCAACTCAACATGCCAGAATCGCCAGGCATGGCGATTGGACATTAGGCACAGCACATTTGTCGACTGGCAGAAGGTGCGCATTCAGGAGAACAGCTCTGAGATCCCCACAGGAAGCATGCCTCGTACGATGGACGTCATTCTGCGTGGTGAGATTGTCGACCGAGCCAAAGCAGGTGAGAAGTGCATCTTCACGGGTGCGCTCATCGTCGTGCCAGATGTCAGCCAGCTTGGCCTGCCGGGCCTGAAGCCAACTGCAATCAGAGATGACAAGCCTGCTGACGTTGGTGGCTCTGGCGTGACGGGTCTGAAGGCTCTCGGTGTGCGCGACCTTTCCTACCGCATGGCCTTCCTGGCGTGCATGGTCGTCCCAGATACCTCATCGGCGGGTCAATCCGCCAGCGGCCAGGTCCAGGACGTCATTAGCTCGTTGACCTCAGAGAAGTCCGCGGAGACTGCCGAGTCGGTGGAAGCTGCTCAGGCGGCTGTTCTCGCTTCCATGAACGAGTCCGAGATCAACGAGCTGCGTACCATGGTGCACAGCGATCATATTTACTCCCGCTTGGTGCAATCCATGGCGCCCACAGTCTACGGCCACGAGGTCGTCAAGAAGGGCCTGCTTCTCCAGCTCATGTCTGGTGTTCACAAGACCACTGCTGAAGGCATGGAACTGAGAGGCGACATCAACATCTGCATTGTTGGTGACCCGTCTACTTCCAAGTCTCAGTTCCTGAAGTACATCTGTTCTTTCGCGCCCCGCGCCGTCTACACGAGTGGTAAGGCTTCTTCCGCTGCTGGTCTGACGGCTGCTGTCGTCAAGGATGAGGAGACAGGTGACTTCACCATCGAGGCTGGTGCTCTTATGTTGGCAGACAACGGAATTTGTGCCATCGACGAATTCGACAAGATGGATATTGCCGACCAAGTTGCCATCCACGAAGCTATGGAACAGCAGACCATCTCTATCGCCAAGGCCGGCATTCAAGCCACCCTCAACGCCCGCACATCTATTCTCGCCGCTGCCAACCCCGTCGGTGGTCGCTATAACCGCAAGACCACTCTCCGCGCCAACATCAACATGAGCGCCCCCATCATGTCTCGTTTTGATTTGTTCTTCGTTGTTCTCGATGAGTGCAATGACTCCGTTGACCGCCACCTTGCCGAGCACATTGTCGGGCTTCACCAGCTCCGTGACGAGGCCATCGAGCCCGAGTTCAGCACCGAGCAACTCCAAAGATACATCCGTTTCGCGCGCACGTTCCGCCCAGAATTCACCGCCGAGGCCAGGGAGGTTCTCGTCGAAAGGTACAAGGAGCTCCGCGCCGACGACGCACAGGGCGGAATCGGCAAGAACTCGTACCGTATCACCGTTCGTCAGCTCGAGAGTATGATTCGTCTGTCCGAGGCCATCGCCAAGGCCAACTGTGTTGAGGAAATCTCACCCCCGATGGTCAATGAGGCATTCAACCTCCTCAGACAGAGTATCATTTCTGTCGAGCACGATGATGTCGAGGTTGATGATGAAGAGCCCGAGGACAGCGCTACCCTGCGTCGCGCGGCATCTGAGGCCGCTGGCCAGCCCGTTGAGGATGACACTGCCATGGCTGTCGACGAGGCCGCGCCCGCGCGACCCAAGCAGACCATCACGTACGAGAAGTACGTCAGCATGGTTAACCTGTTCCTGCAGCATGTCGTCGAGGATGAGAACGAAGGTGGTGAGGGTGTTGAGGGCGAGCAGCTTGTCGAATGGTACCTTGAGCAGAAGGAGGACGAGCTCCAGGGCGAGGAGGATTACCACCAGGAGAAGACCCTGGCCAACATGGTGCTCAAGAAGATGGTGAAGGTAAGCAGTTGTCCACCAGTCATACGATTCGTTGAAAAGATGCTAATTCAGGTGACAGAACAACTTCCTCATGGCCATCCGCGGCGAGGGCTTGATGGACGAAGATGGCAACGCCGGCGAAGGCGCGTCTGCTGCTGCGGCCAAGATTGTCTACGTCGTCCACCCCAACGCTGCTGTCGAGGAGATTTGAGTGGATGTCTCTCCCTGGCGTTGGTTGATTTTGAAATAAAATGGAGGATAGTTGAATGCATCATGAGAAAAGTAATGTCTGCAGCATTTTGGCCTTTTTGAGCCTTGAGCAGTTGGGATGGCTGGGCATGTGTTGATACCGCCTGGGAGTTGTGGCGTTGGAGGACATTCTGCGTTACTGAAGAGGATATGCATATAAAGCAGAGAACCGAGATAGCAAGACATGTGGTCATGCTGCAATTCATTATTAACAATGGAGTTTTTATTGTTCGACCGCAATGATTTCAGCATCCTTGAACATCGTTGATCTCGTATCACAATAGCAGAAGCAAACGCTGCTCGTCGTATCATTCTGTGGGCACTCATCGCCTGCAATGTCACCGGGTATTCTTGTAAAACCATTCTCATCATCATTCTTTCCTATCATGCACGCCTACGACGAGAACGTGCCATCCTGGTTGACGTTCGGGATGAAATTAGGACACAGCCACCCTCTGCCTTCGGGACAGGTAAAAATGACCTCCCCATTCTTCCGCAATAGGCCCATCTGGAAGCGCCACTCTGTCTTGACGGCGATCCCGTTAATCTTGAGCCAATACGCCAGGATCCCCTCGGGCGTGCACGGCTCCTGCCCGCTGAACGTCTTCTCCCGCGAGTGCGTGTTGAACGCCTTCCACCGGCCGCCCTCCTTCTCGACGGTGCGCAGGTTGACGAATTCGCGGTAGAGGTACAGGTACGTGAACATGGCGTTGGGGCGGCCGAAGGCCGTGATGTCGCTGACGCCGGCGCGCAGCTCGCCGTCGTGCAGCATCGAGTACCACGTCCAGTCGAGCGCGACGCGCGGGGCGAGGATACCGTTCTCGGGCACCTTCAGGGATGATAGCGCGGGGGATCCGTCGCCCCAGAACTGCAGGTCGAGGCGGCCCTTGTAGATGTAGTCGTACGAGACGCCCTTCTCGACCATGTAACGCTGGACCTGCTGCGCGGCGAGGTAGAGCGCCTTCCACTGGCTCAGCTGGTGGTTGAGCTTGTCGGCGCCGCAGGCCTTGACGAGGACGTCGGGCGGGTCGACGGCCTTCTCCTTGACGTCGTCGAGCTTCTTGACGACGACGGTCTTGAGGGCGTCGCCGAAGCAGGCGCGGAGGTTCTTGGCGATGGTGGCCTCGTCGGAGGTGTCCTTGTCGCCGGCGGCGTCGTAGACGTCCGTGTCGTAGGTGAAAACGTGGACGTCGACGCCGCCGGAGCCGGTCCAGGTCTTGACGAGCTTGTCATTCTGCGCCTTGCAGGTTTGGAGGTAGGTGCGCAGGAAGCCGGTGTAGACGATGGCGGCGCGGCCCATGTCGTCGGCGGCGCGGTGGAGGGTGCAGGTAGTCTTGGAGCCGGCGCGGATGTGCAGCTTGCCGCTGTCGAGCAGCTCGAGGACGGGCTTTTCAGCGGCGCCGTCGCTGGAGTCGGCGGAGGCGCAGTCGGGGAGGAGGTTGGAGATCCACGGGGTGGCGCCGTAGGGGGCGGCCGTCGAGTTGGACCAGGAGAGCATGAGGACGCCCTCCTGGGTGAGCTCGACCTGCCACGAGACGGGCCAGTGGTATTCGGTGTCGGAAGTGAAGAGCTCGGCGTCGGTCTTGGTGTCGGTGAGGGAGAGGGCGCCGCTGTCGAGCAGGCGGAGGGAGTAGCGGCCGGACGGGGAGGTCAGGTGGAAGGGGGAGAGCGTCTGGCCGGCTTCGAGCTTCGACGGCGTCTTGGAGGTTGGTTGCGCATCTTTGGCCGGGTCGGAGGCTGGCGTTGCGGGTTTCGAGGGCGCAGACGATGCCGTCACGGCGGCAGCGGTCGAGGAGATCGTGGCAGCGACACCATTACCGCCCTTGTTCGCGTTGTTGGCGGCGTCTTTGGCCGGCGCTGTTGGCGCATGGTTGTTCACCGGGGTGGGAGGATTGTAGCCGACGTGGGGGAGCTGGGGGACGAGGAATATCGCGGCGATGAGGAAAACGGCGACCACTAGGGACAGCCTGAGACACGTGCCGCTCAGCATCACGACGGTTGGGCTTTCTGGCTTGGTGGGCTGTCCATTGCCAGCATAGCCGTGTGTTTTATGGCGTTTGTCTAAGAGGAGGTTATCCAATGAATCCGACAGGGGGCGTGCCGAGGCGGCAGGTGAATCCTCAGTGCGGCGCGATCGCGACGTTATCCGCTTATCGATAGAGCTTTGACCGTATGCATGTATCGGACTTGTTTCAGCGCGATACCTACATACATGGTGCCTGTGATTAGTCGGCACATGTAAGTGCTCCCAAATTTGTCCATAGAATCTTGCTCAGAGGTTACTCGTTTCCTATTGTCAATTCGTTTCAATGACGCTACTTGGTGGTTGGGACCTGGATGTGAATGGCTTCAGTTCGTTGAGCTAACCTTACCCGAATCTGCCTTGTATCAAATGCGACATTGGTACATAAAGATTTCTGTTTCGATGTTTCAAGGCGCCTTTCTTTTCCCATTGGAAGTAAAACTTTTCGTTTCTTGCAACTAATGAGAAGAAATTCATTGTCTCGTCTTTCTATCTCTAACAGATTGGCATTTCATTAGTCACTCTGAAGTTTTTCTTACTGGTTGTATTATCCGAACAATCCCTCACCGGTACATTTTGTTCGGCTTTACTCTCTTGTCTCTCGGAATCCTTTCATGATCATCTATCGGTCGCAGAAACAACGCCTCCTTCTCGGCCATGATGCCGTACCTATGGCTAAGTGCTTTGGTGTCTTCCAAAACACTAGTCGGCATTGCGAAGTCTCCTGGAGGCGGACTCCGCATGGCGAGTGCCAACAGCTCTGAAATTGAATCCCAACTTGAGCTCGTGATGCCCCTTCCCACACTCCACAGCACGAAAAGCCCAGCTATACCACAGTACACGAACAACCCGAACACCAGGTTTCTTACTGTGTTGTCTTGGTTACTATACGCAAAACCTTGCATTTCCGCGCGGAAATAAAATGAGACAAAACGTGACTGGTCGGCTTCTTCGACGGCAAAGGCGGCCTCATCTATTGCGGCATCTTGGCGCTCGAAGAGGCGACTCCGCGGAAAGAAGTGACGCCACCACGCACCATTCTCATCTTTGAGCGTTGTGATGAGATGAGCATTGGGTACCGTGCGCGCCATCGCGTTAATGAGCATGCCGTTGATCAACGTCTCAATGTGACACGGCGTCCAGTCCGGCCCCCTGTTCTCGAGCGAGGCAAGCCCAGCAGTGGTGGCAAGCCTCTGGAAGACAGTTGTATTGGTCTTTTCCACAATAGGATTGCTGAGGTTCGCATAGGATGTATGGATGGTGATCATACGGTCGGAGCCCCAGTCACTCTTTTCGAACCATTCTTGCGTCTTGACATGGTAGTACTGAAACACGTGAATTTGGGCGGCCGTCCATTGGGCGTTGGTTATGGAACCATAAAGCGCAGGCTCTTTCCCTTCGAGTGGAAGGGAGACAACAGACACGATTGAGGCATTTGCTGCCAAGTCTCCCTCCGGGTTTATGTCAAAGAAGAACAGTTCAGGAATAGAACCGTTCATGCTCTTCAGAAAATCCTCCGTATCAACATCTTCGATTATCATAGGGCTATATAGCGTTTGGGGGTTTCGGACACCGGGAAATTGGATTGATCGATTATCGTTCCTAGCCAAGCACCGTGTCGTGATCGATGCCACCTCTGAGTATGTGGTGTACCGGGAATCAGATCCTCTGTAATTTCTCTTGTTTTCTTGTCCCATGCGTGCCATGGCCGTTTCCCAGAGCGCCGTTATTTTGACGAGGCCTACACCCGTGGCATGGGGAGGCAACATCATCCTGGAATCCTCCCACTGCATCTCCGGGTTTTCAACAGGCTCGCGAACGGATAGACTGGCTAGCAGCACAGACTCCGTCGTAGGTAGAGGCCATAATCCTGGAGGTCAGGTGTACAAAGGGTTCTCCACCTCAAGTTTTCTCTGGCTCGGAAAAAAGCTCGCAAGTTGCTCTAACGATTCCCAACCAGCTGATAGACAGCGTAGATCGCCGGTGACCTGGCATATCTCTCCATGGAGGGTATTATTGGCTGTCATCATACTAGGATACATCTCCTGAATTGAGACATCGATCCAGGCCCACGAACCGCCTAATTTGTACCAGTCTTGAGTGGGCATCAAGATGGTTGCGATTGCAGGAGCGACTAGTACGGCCAACGCACAGCATGTGAGTGAAAAGACAATAAAGAAGCCTTTCTTCCAGACGGAGGAGAATTGCCCTCGCAACATAGCGAATATGTCATTCGACCATATGAAGCTTGGAGACTTGTATTCGTGGCTGGCGAAAAAGGCTGCCAATGGTATGCCTTGCGGCATAGTTGCCTCCATGCGCACAAACGTGAAGATCATTGTGGTAAGAGATCCGATAATGAAGCTCTCGATGAGCTTTGCAGCAAATTGAATAGCCAAAGCGGCCTGCTTATCCCACGCACGAAGCGGTGTTAGGTGGGCCCCAACCCAGTGTTCGCGGAAAACGAAGCGAGCCATGATAGCAGTTGCTATGATGGGAGGGAAATGTATAAATGCGGCTAATAGTGCCATGGGTCGGTGCTTGTAGATGACCACTTTCGTACGGTCATGCACTTTATCATAGAAGAGGCGATAGAGAGAGTGCAGACTCCATGCCTTCAGAGTGTTGTGGATAATCTCCTTCCATTGAAAATTCGGCCTAGTCCAAAGATGCGAGGGGATCAGTATCAAAAGTAATACATTGAGGCAGGAGGTGTACCGCTTCATCGGTGGCCTTTATCACGCAAAAAGGGGGCTCACTTCGTCTGAATTGATTCCTCCGTCCCAGTTCGAGGCTGTTGCTGTGAATGCCCTTTGATCAAAGTAGAGCTGTTTGAACCGGATATCAACCTCGTCATCTCCACCTCTGGCTCTTCCTATGGAGTTGTGCTATCAGCACGGTCTGGCCTGTACAGGGAAGACATATTGATCTTGAAAGTTTTGCCGAAAAAGGAGCTGCCGACATAAGGTTGGGCGAAGTCTTTGGATCCAAGGCTGGCTTTACCGGACCTGCTTTAATAGAGAAATTCGAAGCCAGGGACTCCATCCTAGCCAGCATGTCTACGCAGCTCAATTACCTCCGTAAGGCTCTGTCTTACCCACCACTAGGTGGTTTACTCGCGAGGTCACACAGACAATCAAACACCTCATTGGTGCCTTTTTTATCGTCCAATTCAACTTCCGTCAACTTGCATTGAATCATATCAGGCTGATGGCGCCACCGTCATCAAAAGTGAACCGAAAAGGGGATCCGAGACGCAGGCCAAGGTACAGATGGTCCTTTTTGAATCAATAATTGCATTTCTGCCATCGTTCTGCTGCCGAATACAGGGCCCGGCCAACAAAAATGCATGCAACTCGCCGATTGCCCCAAGGGGTGCGGGTAATCTAATCCTTCAATTTCTCAAATATCGTTATGATCATAACCGATTTCGTCTATTAACACCAAAAAAGTATGGCCCACATCAAGCTTTCTCGAGAGCAAAGATAGTCGGATCTCTTGTTGTCGCGCATTTTGCGAAAGGGGCCTATCTCGATGTATCGCAACCTCGAGCCACCTCACTCGCTTCAAGGGGCGAGAACAGAGAAGATCTTCCCATCAGGTTGTTTCTTTAATCTTAGAAAGCGCTTCTCCGGCCATAATGGAATGCACTACATGTTCTAGACAACTTTTCTGGATAGTGCACCGCCTAAGAAGTCACCATAGGCTTCCCCCATAACTTCGAATCTTCTCATGACCCTTCCGTAGCCGCTCACTTTCTCTCTCTGAACGATATAAAGTTGCAACCAGTTATGATAAAGACCTTGTCGCCTGATCGCAGCACAGCGGGACCAATGCACATGTATCTCTCATTCTTAATCTTCGTGACGAAGAACCGCCTCAGCGACATTACGTTTTGTATGAGGTCGGAAGTAGTGCTATCGGCCGCAGAACCGGCACACAAAATCATGTCAACGATGCCTCGCAAGTCATTTCTCACCTGGCTTTTGCTTCTTCTCTCTCGCACTAACGTTTACGTTACGCGGTCGATGATTCGTCTCTAGCGAATAATAATTTCACTCCATTTCACAGTTTTCCTCGAATTCCACCAAGCAAGGTCTTCCCACCACGTTGTCTCCTTGATCCTTGAAATTGCTTCTCCGGCCATGATTCCGTGAACTGCGAGAAAAGGGGCCATTAGAAACATCTAGATTAACAGCATTCAATCATTGACGTACCGTAGGCTTCCCCGATAAGTTCAAACTCCCCATTTCTGTCACCATTCTCGTCTACAATCTCTCTGAGGATAAGGGGGAAGTTACACCCTGCTAGGACATAAACTTTGTCACCGGGTTTGAGTGAAGCAGGACCAATACCCATATATCGTTCCCCTTTTGTGACGAAGAATCGGCGAAGTGGCATGATGTTTTGAACGACTTGAGCAACGGTCTTCTCGCCCGCCGAGCCCGCACACAAGACCCTTTCGATGATTCCTCGCAACTCAGTCGCGTGTCTCTTCTTCATCCACTCTGGCCGTAGCTCATCCTTCACTTTCTCATCCGTTATCCACCAGTGATTTGTCTTTCCCTCCAGAGCATTCTGTGCCAGGGCATAGGACTTAGTAATGATCGAGTCTACTGAAACGGGACCAGAGCCTTGAGGGGCACCGCACCAACTACTAATCTCATCAATGAGGATGGCGTGAGTGTGAAGTGTCTCGAGGTTCATGCCAAACCAGGCAACAGCCTTCTCGTCAGCGCAGGCTGCATACCCGTGCCCGAAAACGAGCGCATAGTCCATAGAGCCTCCAAAGAAGGGAGACAGTAGCCGCGTGCGGTTGACAAACAGAACTGGTCTTGTCTCATTCGCCTCTTTCCGCCAGTCAGGGACCCAAGACGGCAGCATACCGCCGTTGCAAGCGGGTTTTGATCCACCCGCTGCCAAAAGGATGTCGAGACTGTCTTCCGTGCGTATAATATCCCTAGCTGCCTCGCAGAATACTTTCTTGACAGTTTTGTTGTAGTCAGGGATCATTAGGGAGCGGTTTTCTTCGCCGACGAGACCCAAGACCGCGAACACTTTGTCCCTCGGATCAGTTGCGTCTCGGTCCCAGGTGTTCCACAACAGGTCCGAAAGCTTTCCGTTGAGGAGTCTCATCTTACACAGATGAAGAGCCAACCCGTAACGCCTCTGAAGTTGCGCCCAAACTCCGACTCGACAGTCGCTGCTGTCTTTCATTGTTTTGCCTATGTCATCCCAATATTCATGATAAGACATGGCCCTCTGAAAGATCTTCCACCTGATGGTCTTCTTCCCGCATTGAATAATTGCTCTGTCACTTGCGCTCCAGACTTCTTGAACAACCCAGGTGCGGCTCCACCATTGCCGGCCGAGAAGGTTGTCGACTGCGGCCCAGTGGGTTTGGAAACTTTCATGGAAAAAAGACGCCAATGGATGGCCGAACATGTCGCAAAGGACAGGATAGCCGATGGCGACATGGCCAACATTTGGTTCCATGATATTGATGTCAGCCGCCCAGGCCATCCTCGCTCTCTCCTGTGTACCATTCTGTGCTCTGCGCTCCCAGAACTTCATACGCTCCAGAAACCTGGTCCACGTACGAGGCAGTTCCCCACGAATCATAGCTTCATGTTGCTCCCACTTTTTCTTCCTCGTCTCGTCAAATTTGTCTCTGGCGCGGCCACTCCCACAGTTCAGGCCAACACGTAGGGCGCAACTCTGGAACAGCTCTATTGCTTTTTTGGCCCAACTTCGGAACCAATGCAAGAAGCTAGCAATGACGGTTGACCTTGTAAGCTCAGCGGATTCAGCGGCTTCCACTGGCGTAAGGAGGGTCTGCGAGTCAACCTCGTCGTAGCTATCAACTGTGTCAGCGTCGCTGCCAGCTGTGTCAACGTCAATTTCAGCTGCGTCAACGTCGCTTGCAGCCGCGTCAACGTCATTGTCAACTGCCTCACTATCACCTCCACGTTTAGGATCTCTAAGATCACTGAGAGTCAAAGACTCATCCTGGCTAAAATCGGAAGTCTCGTCATCCGAAAACGGTCTCTGGTCATATTTCTTCTTGTATGTTCCCATCCTTTGAAGGAAGCGCAAGGCCCGATCGCTTTCACCGTCCTCAGTCGCCAAGCCCAGCCAGATAATAACGCGTTGCGCACGGCTGTAGATCTGCCGCATTTGCTGCACCTGCGCACTCCTCTCGGAGGCATTGGCTTGGTTGATGCAAATGGCATCGATCCATAGAACGCGAGGCTCGTTGGGATAGCGGAGGGAGTTTAGAAGAGACGTGACATTGGGCGTAATTGAGATACTTCTGACATCTTTCGTTTCGCTCGATGTCGACGTTGACCCAGTGTCGCAGACGACATTCAGCGCATCGGTGAAGTCTTCAGCGCCCCAGGCGTAAGACACCGCCTCATATTTGGGGGCCAATTCAAGCGGTGCTGATCTGATTACACCAGAGAGTGCCGTTGCTTCGCCTCCGGGATGAATAGTGAGGAGACGAATATGACCATCTGGAAGATCTTGGTAAACGGGATGCATTGCAGTGAAATGCGGCTAAAGCCAGCAGCCAATGGCCAATGTTTATTGCAAGTGCGGCTTCCGCAGACCGCAGGCCGACTTTGCCAAAATGGAAAGTTGAGTGATTGAGGAGGTGTGGCAGAGCGAAGAGCGATTTCGCTCAGCTTACTTGTTGGTTGGAAATCTCTTGAATATTCTGATTGGTTTCCATACTCCTGCCTACTTTTAATTGGCCATGCCCCTCATTAAAAACATGCAGAACGAATCCCGACGTTTATTCGCTCAAGATTGCAGCAATCGAGAACAAAAGTCCCCTCCGAGCAGTGGATGTTTTGAATTCTGCACACTTATTCTGTAAAGTCACAGGAAATCAACCAAAGCTAGCATGGCCAATATGAGGTCTGTTCTACTATGAAATCATGAGTCAATGACCATGTCTCTAACCAAGATTGGTACAAACAAGAGCGCTATGGAAGCTCAACCTCAATTAAGCTCTCAACGCCCTTGCCTCCACCCCAGATCTTCACAATCTTCAACCCAGCAATCTTCTCTAGAAGGTTGTACCAGTCACCCTCGGTGCGCTCCTTAGAGCAGAAGAGTGTTAGCATGACCATATCAAGCGCCGATGTCTCCCACCAGGCACCAGTTGACGGAATGACGTTCTCGTTGATGAGCAACTTGCTGTAGCCAGGCTTCATGGCGGCCTTGATCTGTGCTAGAATCTTCTCGCAGACATCGTCAGGCCAGTCGTGCAGGCATGAGTGCATGTAGTAAGCACGAGCGCCCTTGACGGGCTGTTCTGTTAGGAAGTCGTGGCCCATGGGCGTGATGGCTGGCGTCAGCTCCTGGATCTGGCCGATGACGACAGGCAGATCCTGAAGAATGAGCTTGCCCGGTGCGTCGGGGTGGTAGCGGTGGAATTCGGCCAAGTCGTGACCGATGCTGCCACCGATATCCACCAAGAAGGCGGCGTCGGCATTCTTGTCGGCGCCTTCGATGAGCCTTTCCTTGACGGGGAAGAATCCCGGAGCCATCCAGGGGTTACGGCCCTGACGGTAGCCGGACATGTGGTGGTTGAAGTGAGTGCCGTCTGCGGTTACTTCTGTCAGTACAGGTATCCATGCGAGCTTATTTGTGACTGTAGAACTTACAGCCCAAGTCTTGTTGCCATGAAAACATATCCTTGTCGGTGTTGTAAGCGTACATCATAGATGTATCCTTTGCATCGGTCGGGTTCTTGAAGCCTCTCTTGCGAGAGTACTCGTGGAATCGTAAGGGGCCAGCGCTGGTGCAGGAAGTCCTGGAGGCGTCATGATGTTAGTGAACCGTTACATAGAGATAATACGTGACTTTCGAAATGGCAGGCACATTTAAGACTCACATAGCAATGTATCCATCTCCAATCATGGGAAGGCTGAGCGACTTTGAGAAGTTGGTGGGCTGGTACTCGTCGAGGCCGGTCTCCTTGATGTATCCCATAGCACCAAGATGGCGCATGAGACGACCTAAAATGGGCTGTTAGTCGAACAAGTGTGAGAGGTAGATTGATTGGGAGACTTACTCAGGAGAGCTGGGTCAACACCAAGGGCTTCGGCCAACTCGGTTACCTTTTGGGGTCTATCGCCATTCTTGGCCATGAGCTTCCATAGCCCTGAGTCAACACCAAAGTTGATACCGGCAATGGCACCAGTCTTGCGGAAAACTTAGTTAGTTTACATGGAATAGTAACAGGTGCCGAGGCAGAAGCCTACCTGTGCCCAGCAGTGCTTGATCATGGTCTCTCTCGGAGCCTCGAGAGCTTGGACAATGGACCGAGCCTTCAGCAGGAGCTCGTGACGGGCTTCTTGGCCACCAGTGGACAAAGAGCCAATCCCAGCATTAAGCTCCTTCAGCAGTCCAGGAACTGCTGCCAGGTCATTGGGGCTGGTGGCAATTGAGGGGTCGATGACTGGGGCGTCTTTGGTGCCATTGGTGCCATTGGTACTGTTCGTACCGTTGGTGCCGTTTGCAGCTGGCATCATGAATATGAATAACGATAATGAATGAAGTAATCCGAGGAGAAGTGAAGAAGCTGGGGCCAGACTGACATGGCGCTTCCAAGGCGAGTAGTTATATCGTGCCGCGAAATCAGTCGGAAGGAACCTCTTCGGAAGTCGGGGAACACAATGGGCATCTGCATTTGCTACAGCCCCCACGTTCCGTAAGTCTATTTCTATGTCCCCTTTTTGTGGTGGGAATCGAGGTCCTCGGAAGGTGAAGGGGAATTGGAGAGCGGCGGAACTGGCGTCTCTCCTGATGCAGCACAGTTGCTGGCAGAGCAGATCTCGAGGTCCAGTGCTCCATCCCACTTCGTCCGGGCCGGGATCCCGAATCCCCGTCCAAATACAGTTCTGACAATGTCAACGGGACCTTCCGCAGTTAAACCAGAAGGCTGTGTGGCCTGCACGCTGCCCCGGCTTGTGAAGACCGGGGCCCCGGACCACCGGCCCCACCAGGAACCACCTTCCGGACCAGGCCCGAGCAGGGGGCAGATGCAGTGTTGGTTGATAGTCACAGTTTTGGCTACCAACCAACAGCGCGAGAGCCCAACAGTAATCCTCAAACGGAAATAATTACTCTCGGTCAACACTGATCGGCCGCCGTCCTACCGTCCGAGGCTTGGCCACATTCTGCTCAACGCTCGCAGCCCATGTTTTTGGAACAAAAGAATATTGGGCCTGACGACACAGCTCCATATATCTGCAGCCAGACACACAACATGCTGTTGGTGAAGGCTCGGCTGTCGGGGTTCCAGCCGGGCACCTAGACAATGAAGACATTTTTGTGCCCACGAACAGCCCATGTGGCCTGTCCATGGGCCGGGCTAACTTCCCCAATGGGACAATGCGGTTGCCAGGCATGTTCCAACACGATGAAGAACACGTCCAGACTCCAACAGATGAAGACTGCTTCCAACATATTACATATGGAGATTCCTTGCAATATAAATGGGACCTGCGGGTACTTCCAACAACACAAAGACGATTCTTTTGCCCAAAATGATCAGACCGATGGTCTTGGCTTGCTATGCCTGAAAGTTGACGCCTGTTCCAACAAGTGGTTGGAGAATTTCAACTCGGGATTCTGCTGCAGCCCGTATTTCCGCCACGTTCAATCGTATGCAATAGAGGGCCCACAGCCTCCTAGTGCTTCGTCGTTTGGTCTGCTCGTTGACTGATCTTCACGAATCGTGATCAAGTATCAGGAGGATCAGGGGCGGGATGTGGGATTATACTGAATGTGGCAATGCTATCGCCGACTGAAAGCAACCACACAGATTTTACACGAATTGTCTTCTCGGAGAGAAATATGAAGGAGTTTGTTTCGAGTCTGATAAGTCGGGCAAAAGAACCCTGGAGTCATGAAAAATAGCTTGGGATGTTGAAAAATGAGCATGATCGGCAATCGGCAATTTTTCATGCGTACCGAGAGCATGGTCCGCGAGCAGTCTGGTCGGCTTGCATATATTCTTCAAGCTTCTGCATGTGTCCAAAGCTGTCTCCGGTCTCCGAGATCCTTCCGCATGCCCGCATGGTCGCTGGCGAGTTCTTTTCTACAACTCCAACATGTCGAGTCCACCGGAGGAATCCGATGAGTGGAAGGCCCAGGACAAAGGGCCGACCATTATTGTCGTTTGCTGGATTGTCACGGCCATCAGCACCTGTTTCGTTCTCGGCCGAGTCTATGTAAGGGGGAAGATCATGAGGAAGTTCCACAGCGATGACTGGTTCATCATCCTAGGGCTGGTGAGTGTTTCTCTTCACCGTGGATTTTGTTATGCAGACGTCCCCATACGAGAAGGCCCTCTAACCTGTGCTGTCCTTCAGTTTTGTGGTTACATCTCGACGGCTCTGTCCACGATCGCAGTATCCTACGGCAATGGGAAACACATGAAGCTTCTCTCGGACGAGCAGAAGCAAGGCGCCATCTTATGGACAACAGCCGCCTTCTGCCCTGGCATCATGTCTTTTGGCCTCCCCAAACTGGCCGTGATCTCTCTCCTGACGCGGCTCATGAATCCAGGGAGGTATCATAAGTGGTTCTTGTGGTGGATGGGAATCTGGTGCCAGTTGACGCTCTTTGTGACAGCAGGACTTCTCCTTGGGCGCTGCACGCCAGCCAGGTCACTTTGGGACTTTTCTGTCACGGGCGAATGCTTCAGTAAACAGATTTTAGTCGCGTATTGCATCTACGCGGGCGGTATGATGACCCTCTTTGCCACACAGCTCTCAGCTCCTCTAACACAATTTTCCCCAACAGCATTCTCAGCGTTTGTTGATGTTTACCTGGCTGTGTATCCGGCAATAGTGCTCTTCGGTCTCCAAATGTCCACCAAGAAGAAAGTCGCTCTGTCATGCGCCCTTGGTATTGGTTCAGTGTACGTATTATATCTGGCACGCATCATTGTTAGAGACTGCTGTGACTAATGGCCGACTCATAGTTCTGGTGTTGTTGCTGTTTACAAAACAACTCGCATCCCGTCTCTCGCAAGCGATGACTTCTCTTGTAGGTCCTCTACCTGCGCTTTTCCGTCGATGGATGAGGGCTCGCAAAGCTGACTTTCTTTTGCTTCACAGATGATACCTCTGATCTGGTTATTTGGACAGTGTAAGATGAACCCACCACAGACACATTGGGCCAACTGGCTGCGTGCTGCTAGCGTTCTTTAAAGACAATATTCTAATCACGGCATTTGGCAGTGTCGAGGGCAGCACCATCATCATCGCGAGCTCCATACCTGTTATGCAGCCACTCCTCGAGCTCATCCTGCGACGCAACCCCTTCAGTTCCGGGAAGGGATCCAAGCAGACACCGCAGTATTACGAGCAATACGGCTCTCAGAGCAAATCAAAATCGCGCGGCGGCGGCATCGAGCTCGGCCAACGCAAGCCCAAGTCCAAGCCCAAGGACGACCTCGGCCTTACCATAATCGAGAGCGACGACAGTCAAGAGAACATACTATCCCCAACAACCGGTACAAACAACCAAACCTCCACATCATCGGGTGCCCCGACCCTCACAAACAACAGCGACTCTAGCCAGCATGCTGCGGATGGGAAAATCATCCGGACCGATTGCGTGAGCATTTCCTATGAGGAGAGGGGACATACGCAAGAGACATCTGCTTCGAGCAGGTGGAGGGCCATTTGAGCCGAAGTTCATTTCGCGTTTAAAATGGATCGATGCATGAAGTAAGCTGGCTGGCTGGGTTGTTGAGAGTCTGTCGGGCATAAATATTCTCGGAATGCCAACACATACGATTATCCTCGGGAATACTGGCTCGATACACTTGTACTTATACACAAGGTTACAAACACGCTGGTCACCTTCCGGACAAAAGTTGGTGGAGTCAACAGTAATTTCGTCAAAGGTGCATGCAATAGTTGATGCGAGGTTATCTGTATATCAAAATGTATTTCCGCTTCGCGTTCGCGATGGCGAGGACGCTGTCGACATGAAAGCGCTTCCACTTGTGGGACTCGACTGGTCCGCATTAAGGGAATGAATATCTTTCAGCCTCCTCGCAGATTCTCCAGGGATTGATGATGTGTGTGAAGGCGGGTTGATACCGATCTTTTTCTTCATCTTTGGCACAAGTTCACGCCACAGTTGGCGTACAGATGGCAAGCAAGCAACAATTATACCAACAGAAAGCTCAACATATGACCACATGTGTAGCCAAAAGGCATCATCTTCATAGGTCAGCGGAGTCGGTCATGTGGAGTCGGATGTCGCAACTTACACGTTGGATCTGTAAAGTTACGGAAGTTTAGCAACACTCGTAGACGTATGATGCTGACGATAGTGATGCTGACTGAGTTAGTCTATGGGGATTCGCGTTGATTGAATGCAAAAGCTCACATGATGCCCAATCCAAACATACAAAGGATCTCCAGCTTCTGTCTTTTCCGTAGATTCAACCAGAGGACCTGCGTTACAGGCAAGACTAACATCCAGACATCCAGAGCGATGTTAATTGCCCCGTGCGATACTAGCATGGCGGTGAGGTTCACGCAGTACCCAGGATGTCGCCCATCCCAGCCTTCCCAGGCAAACCAGAAAGGCTTGCACTGATTCAGATTCGCAATTGTGAAGGCGATGCAGTTAAGAATGTTGAAAGCTTGAGTGCACCAGAGAATTATCGTGAACGTAGGACTGACGAGGTTGAAAACCCGTAGATAAAAGAACAAGATCGATGCCTTCAGTGTTCCAATGCTCACGGTGTAGATTATTTCGAAAGCGAAGAAAACCTGATTGGAATTAGTCACGTGTACAATGACTTTCGCTCTTGGGAGGCATGTTGGGAATCGTTGGTATTTCGGGGCTGTAGCGCCTTACTCGCATGAATCTATTGATTTCGTCGTGGGATAGTGACCACACGTCTCGGCCAATGCCAAGCTCGTAACCTGAAGCAGTATCAGACATCAGTCTCAACTGGTACGGCAGAGATTTTCAGTACCGTAGAATTTCGAAACCGCGAAAGAGAGAGTGAATAGCTATACTCGAATTTCAGCAAGCTGCCATGCAACGCTTCGTGGGCAAGTACTCACATATCCGAGTATCAGAGTCCAGTCATCTAGACCCCATTGGGATAACTTCATGGCCTTGGCGATCTGTCGCAGGAAGAAAAAGACGGCGGTTACCCCAACAATGATTATCCTCCCTGCCACCGATCCCTGCTGATCGGAATATGGATAGTCGCACCATGTCCATGTTGCATTCTTAGCCTCTGAATACTCGACACATTAGTAAAGTGAGAGCGGTCGCTGAGTGATTCATGAACAACGATGATCAAAGATGCATCAAGTGTTGCAGAACGTCGCGGTCTTACCGAATAGAGGCCCGATGTCACAGAATGCGCGAACGCAAACCCGGTAGGTTTCTATGAAACTATGGTCTTTACATAGACATTCTGAATTGAACTCAGTCACCCCACAAGATGAGGTGAAATTAAGAGCTTCAGTTGCGCAAGGTGCCTGTCAAGGAGAGCTCGTATTAGTGACACGAGGCTGACGAAGCTGGTAGGCATCAGAAGAGAGAACACTCACAGCACAGCTTGGTAGGCCCGCCAACAAGCTGGAAAATGGGAGCGCCATTGATCAATATGACGGCCGGGGAGCGAGGGTCAGAGAACCGTCATCGGAACTCTCGGAGCGGGGTGGGACCGGCGGGTCGTCCAAAAGAGCGGAAAGGGGGAGAGCGGGAAAAGATCGAGAATGGTCCCGGTGGGAGACGTGAGTTTATGTTGCACAAAGTTTTGTCTTTTCGGCCGTATGTGGGAGGGCAATTTCCTCCGGCAGAGAGGAATTTGTCTCGCAGGGCATTCCAGCTCTGGGCAGAGGAAAGGCGTTCCCATCGTGCGGGACTGCCCTCGGGAAATCCAGCAATGTTAAGAGATCTAGCCAGAAAGCCCAGGAAGGTGGCTGGACCGTTTCCGGCCGATAAGCCCGCCCGCAGCCCTTCGCGATGAAGAATGAGGCGACCCTTTGAAAAGCCAACGGACCCTTACCTCTTAGCGAGAGACACAATGACGCCTCCAAGGGGGGTTCCGGGAAACTGGTGATTGGGCACGCGATCAGAGTGCGGAGAATATCCGCATCCAAAGTCAGTAATATTTGGCTCGCTGATGAATGTTTCTCTCCCACATTCCTTGCGGGATGGAGAAAGTCAACCGGGACGATTGAAGGTTCAAACACCACTGCGAATTAATGTCCGACCAAACATGGACACGGGGCGGTGACTGAGAGCCAGAAATGCTTGAAGCTTGCTAATTGAATAAATGAAAACTGAGCCGCAAAAGGTTTCTGGCGCGTAATTCCACGATAAGGATGAGAGCTACCGATGTTGAGCTGATACAATGCTGTGCGGCTGGTTGAGCGGCTATCAGTGGAAATCTATGCATCGAACACGTGAGAGTACTACTTGTACATAACCATCAGGTAATACTGCAAGTTAGCTGGTCTTCAGCCATCACCTCAATTCCGCCGAATAAGGTTAGTACTGCCGCCATCGTCCTCCGGAACCGTACCGCTTCGCCTGTCAACGATGTCCTCCAAGATCTGATTGTGCCAAGAGACTCCATACCTAACTGCCGTAGTTCTAGTCTCCCGATTCCGCCGGAGATTTTCTCCTTGTCGTAGGGACTTGGAAGACAAGTGGTCTAGATCGAGCGCATCCATAAAGGCGGCCGCACTGCCCAGCTCGACGGCGCCGCCGAGCATCGCCGTTCCACCCCTTCCGCTCCGCCCCAGCCCGCTCTCTTGACCCGTGGTCTTTTAAGGTTATGTGTTTCTTGTGTGAGAAAGCGGCACCTATGCTGGGGCTGGTCTCTGCGGTTGGCGTTTATGATGAGCTTTGGTCTTCGAGCTGATTCGCCGTACTTGATCGCACTGACAGTATGATGCCAGCAGGCGATTGGGGGTCTGCAATGACTGACACATGTTGTTAATATTCACTCCATATCTTCATGTCATGACTCATTCAATAAACGAAGATCAATTTCGACATAGTACAGAGCGCTCGCTAGCCATTCTCATGATACATGCTATTTCCTTTCCACCTTCCGTAATCGAACATAGTTCTTCAAGGGCTTGTGTGTCACACCATCCTTCGCCTCGTACCCGCTCAGCTCCTCTGAGCACTTCAGCAGCTCGAAGTTCCACACAATCAGACTCAGCAAAATCCTCAACTCTACGTATGCCAGTCTTCGACCAAAGCAGCTGCGTCTGCCCATCCCGAAGGCAATCTGTGGTCCAGCGGAAGAATCGAACTCATATCCAGGGCCAGTCCCGTTTAATTGGTCCTTCTCTTCTTGAGTGGTGACTGGCACGAGCCAGCGTTCAGGGCTGAACACCTCAACATCGGCAGGGTCCCAATTTGGTATCTTGCCGCGGTTCTTTACGGCGAGATGGTATGTCTCGTTTCGCTTCGTGTCGTCGATCTCAAAAGCTGGTGTGACGATGCTGGCTCCCTTGCCGAGGGAAAAGACCATGGTGCCTTTGGGAATGTGATATCCAAGAAGGATCGTATCCTCCATGGCCTCTCTTTCAACTAGCGGCGCAGTACCAGCACATCGGAGGACTTCCTCCATCGTGGCATACAGGTAAGGGACGTTGATTTGCATGATCTCTTCGATCCGAAGGTTTCGCTTTTCTGCGTACGCTGCGGAGAACCCATCCTCCATAGCCTTGCGAAGCTTGGTTTGGATTTGGGGGCAGTCAGTGAGGTACTTGAGGGCCCATAGCATGGTGGTGCTGGTGGTATCATGGCCGCCGGTGAGGACGCCGAATAGCTGCACGATATGTTAATCTTCGAAACTGGATGCGGGTAAATGAAGATTTACCTCGTCTTTCATGTTGGGTGCCAAATGATTCGATGTCTTCTTCTCTTCTTGGGCTATCTTCCTCTCTCTCTGAACCATCAAGTCCACCGCAGATCGCACCCATGTGTCATCCCCTCCACTAGCATTTTGTCTGGTTGTAGCTTTGTTCAACTCCCTGACTATAAACTCGTTCTTGACCCGCATCGTCTTGTTCAGGGGTGGGAGCTTCTCGATGATTCTCCACTTCAATACGGGCCAAGGAGATCCGTGCAACCTCTCGATATTGATGCTGACGTCGAGGATGGATTGAATGACTTCGTCGGGTTCAACCGTGGGGAACTTGACCGCATCATCCATAGATAGCCCGTCCCGGAGTCTTGCAACCTGTGTTTCGCTCAGGTCGCGGATGAGATCCGCCACCGGCTTCGTAGCATTGTGTGGAAACTGTTCGCCGAACGAAAACGCCGTCACAGCATCTAAAGCTGTGTAAAAGATGTCCTGGTAAATATCAAACGGGCGCCCCTCCGCGATTCGTGTCTTCTCGGTCCATAAGTTGATCAGGTTGACGACATTCGCGTAAATAGCGGGCGCCGCAACGTTTTGCAGGAAGGGTGGCGACATGAGATCTTGCAGCAGCCTTCGGTTTGCCTTCCACTGGTCTCCGGTTACCATTGTGATTTGATGATTTGGAGATGGACCTGTGAAGAGGTCGCGCAAGATCTTGCCGCGATCGAACTCTTTACGCCGCATGCACATATCCTGTGCTTCGCGGAAATCGCTCAATAGGACGATCGGTGGCGAAAGGGGTCGAAGGAAGATCTGGACGACGGGCGAGTCGAACTGGGCTGCTCGTCCAACAAGCCATGCTGACAGGTCTCCTGTACGTGCCACGGTACTGGCAAGGTCCGGAAGATCACCCATTATTCTTTTCGTGGAATCGGGGTTGTACGGGATACCTTTGATCGGCTTTGGCAAGGCCTTCTGGTAGAGACTGTATAGCAGCCAGCCCGTCAGGCCTAGGGTGAGGAGAATGAAACCATATCGTCTAGGGAGAGATCCTGCCTCTTCCACGAGATGAGCGCTCTGAGACATGTTTACATGTGACATATCGAGTATGCGTTGAGAAACGAGACGAACGAAGACACGTCGCTGGGCAAGTCACAAGCCATTCGATGGAGCCCGTAAGACTTTATATCAGGCAACTACTTGGGTTCCCTACAAATAACTGCATCAATGCAATCCTCTGTTGTTTGATGGCAGCCAAGAAACCTCCCTTGTTGTGGTCCAAGGAGCTGTCAGTTTCGGGCTTAGCTTGGCTGCAAGCGCATCGTCACATTCCTCGTTCTGAGGCAACTGAAAGCGGCGAAACCACGTGCTGTTGAAAGTTTCCCCGCGGCGGGTAACGAGCTGCATTCCATAAAGGGCAATGACCTGGGTTGGCATTTCCAGCCGATGTCAATTGAGTTGAACACTCGGACCTCTTGAAGATGGCGACACTCCATGAACCCATTGGATCCTTGAGCTTCTTCCTTTTCTTGGCACATGATCCATGATGATTGGACTGTTGATCAATTTGATTAGAAAAAACTTCTACTAGAACAACATGAGAGTTCAACGTCAATTTGAAACATCCATACCGGTGATGTGGTACTCTCGACAAAGAACGAATAGGGCAGGTTCCTCGTTGCGAACGACAGGACGAACTTGGGACAGTCTGGGGAAACGGTCGTTTTCGGGTCCCGAACTCCGTCGGCCGGCTTGCGGATCACTGCGGTCGCCGTGAATTGTTCGATGCCATCCTTGATTAGAATTCAACAACGTAGATGCCGCCCGGCAAGCCTCGATAAGGTAGAATTTGTCGCTCTACACATGCAAAACTTACGCGCTGTTGGCCAGAGCTTGATCGAAGTGTTACTGCACTGAGAAACTTCTCTGTGTCAAAGTGTTCCTGGGGAGGCCTCTTCTGGATTGTCTCATGGTTCTATTCGCCTAGTTCAGTATTATTGACTTATTGATTACATCTGATATAGGATTGTATGCGTACCATTGCTACGGTTGAAATATCGCTGTAGAGCATATGACAAGGAATGGGGAATCAAACAAAGGCAAGCATTACTGGTATACCGTCTGAGCTCGGTGCAGCATGTACCAGATTGCTTTTCACATACCTATCGTGATATCAAAAATAGTGAGCTCGGAACCAGTCACTTCCAATTAAGATTATGAAGTCCAGGTACGGACAGTACGTACTTGTGAGTCGTCATAGGATGAAATCGTTGGACTCGGTGTCACATCCTTTTTGGGTAGATGCCCGAGTTTCTAGCCTTCTTCCCGACTTTGAGAGTTCGTCTGTCTGCAGCCTGTCAAGTAAACTCCCGCGCCTTCCGCGTTTCGCACACTTCACAAATTTAGATACTGAGTGAACGTTCGAGGGACATTACTTCTGACTTTCTGCGAAGCAAAATTGGTTTGGCTGGTCTCGTTAAATTTGGCGATATCATACTACGAATAGGGTAAAAACAGCGACAATAATTATGATAGGATCGACTGAAACTCTTAGCAACTTTTTGTTATATCCTACTAGACATGATAATAGTCGCCAAATATTCAAAATAAGACACAAGTAGGAGAAGGGGCAGCTGGTCAATGACGCTGTTAGAAATGGCTTGACCAAAATTGAATTTTCATCATTGTCGGGTACCAATACGCCTTTCGATAGAGCATCACCGGCAAGATTGCATGTCTTCATACACATCAAGATGATAATGATTCACC